ATCACTGGAAGCCTCCTGAGTCATTATGTGTAAAAAATAATAATAGAAATAATGTTAAGTTTTTGAAATAAATTGTTTGTAATTCAAAGTATATGAATATACAAGTATTGCCTCTTTTAGAACAAATTTGCCTTAGGATTATAAAAAATAAAAAGAATTTTTTTTCTAAGAAAAGAAGTATAATCCGTGGGGTTAGATGAAAATGCAAAGACATCTCTAGGAATCATAATGAAACACCCTTATATATATATATATATATTAACTTGAAAAAATCTAATAATATATTACATTTCAAGCATATCTCGTCATAACATTAATTATTTTCCTGATAAAAGAATTATATTGTATCTAACTGAATAAAACGGTAAAAATTATGAAGAGGAAAATACAAATAAGGACGCAAAAAATTGCGCAGCCACATTCATATGCATTCTCTTCATAACGGAAGCGTGAAAATTCAAAGCTGAATTCACATACACAGGATGTTTTTAGCTTGCTGTAGAGAGGAGGGAATCGCTCGATTTATCCTTTACCAAGTTTCCCCCTATACTCGATATACACAAGAAGAATTCCTTTTTCGTTCATTTTCAGCAACTAAGAAAATTCTAGAGTTAAATATATAGACTATTACGACCTCCAAGTGTTTATTTGTAACAAATACTCAACAACAACTTATTCAACTTTGCTCTCCCTTTCTAATGAGAAGTTTTTCTGGTATGATTAGTATTTCTATTTTTCAGATTTAAAAGGGTCATTCCGAACCAAATGCCTGGAAAATTAAGCATACTGCTTAGCCCTTTTGATAGCCTCCTTTACTAGATCTGTGCCACCACGCTTCATGAGTCGATCCTGTAGACGGGACTTCTGGGATCCAAAATCAGCCACAGTTGGTATATTGGGATACTGCTTTTTAATTAGCTCCTGCCAAGATTCACAGAAAAGTTGCAAACACCCTACACAGTGCTCACAGACCGCGCTTAACACGGGTGAGACATGGAATACAGGGGACTCTTCCAAATTGGGATGTTTCCCTGAAGACTTTGAGGCTGACTTTACCACGGGTGAAACGCCTTCAATTCCTTTTCCCTGCACTGGAAATGATATCGCGAGGGACATTAAGCGTTTTTCCTTTCCAAGGAAATCCAAGGAAAGCCCGACAAAGGTGAGCACCACAAGTACAAAAGGTAAATCCCGGCTAAGCATTCGCGATCCCGTCGGTATTGCGGGGGTTGAGGCCAGAGAAAAAAGGCTCTCAGAGGGGCTGGGGAGTGAAGGCGATTGACAGAGATGCCAGAGGGTCAGCGTCAGGCCCGCATAGCTGGAAAACATGTAAAGCAACTGTAAAAGCCCCACCATGCCGGTATCGCGAAGGTCCGAGGAGGGGTTGGTGCCCTGGAAGCCGATCACCTCCCACAACGCGGAGTCGTCTCGGGGAAAGGTCAATGGATCGTCCCCCGCCGCCTGTTCTACTAAAGAAAATTTCCGAATTGACATAATTTGATTGTACAGTTGACTCTTTTCAGAGTCCATAAGGGCGTAGTAAATGGTAAATATAATACGTTGATGAACGACATCGTTGTGATCATAAGGGGTAGATTTCAGCCGCTCCACAACCTTCAGCCCTTCTTTCCACGACGCCGTTTTTGAAATGGGGTACGGTTTGAGATCTACTTTATTATTTTTCATTGCTTTATGGTCCAGGACATTATCATTTCCACTTTTATCGAAACAAAAGCAGGAAAAAAATGTCGTCATCTTTTTATGCTCCAAGAGCTTAGGGACAACTTTGACAGACGCTTTTAGTAGGTTGACAGCCTCTCCAAATGAAATAGCTGAAATCATCGGTCTACTTTTCAAGGTGTACAGATATCTTTCATTTTGAAAGTCCAGAATCCGATTTTGACTTTCACTACCTATGTATCGTGATGAGATATCCGATGTGTTGAATGGGCTAACCACGATTGTGTCCACATCGTAGTCCATGTTGCCGGATGAAACTGACTCTCGATGGAAACGAACTATCCGAATTGGGGTGTCCGCCGGAACGCCTGATTTTCTTGACGAAAACAATTCCATCGACTTGCTACTTCTAAAAGGTGTATGTCTGTTATTTACCATAGTCATAGCTGCAGACGATGTCACCAACACACTACGTCCACCGCATTTTTTCCGACCAAGACCATAATATCTCCTAAACTCAAGGGAAGATGGACTAAGCGGTAGCATATCGGAACAGGACAGCGAAAATGCAGATGATTCAGCCCTTGATAACCCTAAAGGCTCCATTATTGTACTCTCCATCACCGAATGCCGCTTCGACGACACTAAGAGCCCCAATGGGTACTTGTCTTCGTTAATATTTCCATCGTAGCTGTCGCCTCCGGATCCTGTAATGAGACTATACTGGTATGGTTGTTTTGGGAAGGATAAAGCACTGATATCCTCATCAAAACTTGACGTTGCGCTGACTTTAAACGTTAGAAAAGTGTTGTTTTCATTACAGCTTCTGCTTTCCGCTAGGGGGGTGTCGTTCACATCATGAAAAGGAGTTTCACCTTCCGTGTTTGATTGACTCTCCAGCTCTGTACCTTTATGTTTTTGATGCAGCTCGACATGATTTTTGTGTATGGGAGTCTTTAGGCCTTCTACACTGGGGTTCATCAATACCCTTGAAACTCCATCTGGCGTGCTTCTGGCAGCGTTTTTCTCAGCATAAAATGAAATGCCATTATGAGGACTACGTTGAGCCGTACTCTTTTCGATACTAAACAAAGAAACAAGCGGAGAATCACAATCCTGGTCCAGGGACACATTCCCTTCCGCCGGTAAATTCAACTTAATGTCGTGGATACGGTCCTTGGTTGAAACCGAATGTCCTTCTTCATAATTGGAAGGGGTGGGTGTTGAGTGGATTTCGACTGATGGACACTTCTCAATATCAGTTTCGCTCACCAAAGCGTGTGGGGTGATATTGGTGGTGTTCTTTATCTCAGAAACGATGGATGCTTGGGAATATTGAGATAACTTCTTTGGAAGAACCCTCGTGATGGTTCCGGTATAGGGAGAATTGTGACCAACCGAATAAAAGGCGTCAAGGTCGGCGTTTTTATCAGAACTCAACCCGTCGAGTAGTGCATTGGGATCTTTGTGAGAAGCAGCTGCGTTTTGGCCCGTTTTATTTTCTGTTTTCTGATACGATTCCGATTGCACCTCCGAACGCCGTTGTTTTCTATATCCGTTTAGAATTGAATTTTTTTGAAGTAGCAACATTATAGTTGTATTTGTTTTTTTGTTTTGTGAATGAAAAAAAATGCATGCAAGCCTTTTCCTCCTTCAAGAGCACTCTTAATAAATAATATATACACACTTGCATACTTTAGTTAAAAATAATTGAAATATATATTTTTTGAGATACAAAAATAGTTGGAGCAAATATCAGTGTTATGTGTAACAGTAATTTAATAGCCGCAAAAAAAAAGAAATGCGGCAATATTTGCATACAATACTCATCCTATCGTCTTAAAAAAAAAAAAACATATCGCAATAGTAATGACTAAATGGAATAAAACGCAGCCTGAGACAATTAAGTCACGCAGGCAGCAAATCAATAATACCCTAAGACTCTAAAGTATCAACAACAAAAGATGAATCTAAATTTTGTACAACAAATAATAATAATAAATCCAATAAGTGAATACCTAAATACTATTATATAAAAAGGAAAATGGCCTTAATTTTTGTTTAAACATACAAATTTTAATTATAGAACTTTTATTTGATGGTCAAATATTGGGCATATAATTTTTATGCTCTGTTCCCTATTCAATAGCTGTGAATGAGTGTTAGTTCAATTACTATTCTCGAAAAAAAAAATTAAGTGGATCCTACCAAAAACGTGATGTAATTTTTAATCGTCCAAGAGCGACAAAACAGGTCCTCGTGGACCCAAATACGACTTGTGCAACTATTTGCTGATGTCGCCATGTATAACTTTGTTAATAGTCAAAGACCGCTTTCTTGTGTAAAAACTTGCGTTCTTTGGATTCACCATTTCCACAAGCTTCCCTACCTTTAGATCAAATGAATGTTTTTGTTGGTTGTGATCATTTGAAATGTAGAAAGCAGGTAGCTTGCCGAGATCCTTGTCACCATCTTTGCATGGTCCACGATAGAAGTTTGAATCCGCCGCGAGGATGAATCCATTGATTCGTGGACGGGCGGGAACGGGTTACGCCTGTTTTTGTGCCATGGCTGGAGACACTTCAAGAACGCTATGTTTTTGGTTTTAAACCAGATCATCACCCATTGGAGCGAATTGCAAGGTGAGCCACCATAACCTCCCTCTTTCATCTCCGTAAGGATTTCACGAAGCGGGATCACGACATCACCACAATGACGACACTTGAAGCTAAATCTAATGCACCCACTAACATGGTATGCCTAACCCTTCCGTATACCAAACCCAGCGAAAAGCCAGACCACAAAGACCGGAATTCATATTTTACCACCTCAGACACCCCATGCCCATTTCACGGACCATTTGCAGAATGACTTGGTGTGGCTTCGGACTAAAATGAATGGTTAAGAGAGTTCTCAGCAACAGGAGGGCTTGTAATAAGCGGAATCGCCTGTTTCTTGCTAGGGTTAGCTAGCCACTAGCCACAAACAAGGAATGTCAGTATGAATTTTCCTGTGCTTTACGAAGTTCAGCTGGATTGAGAATTTGACCAGAAAAATACAAAGGAGAAAATGAGTCTCGTACTTCCATATGTCTACGTTTTTCTCCTTCTTTCTCCTAGACTCCAATATTTTCCTCAGGGTTTAGATAACTTCAACGTAATTATTAGATTCTATTTTTTGAAGGGCCAAAAAAGTCTCCCTTTTTTTGTCAGCAATCCACTCTATGGTTAAAGGAGATTTCCCTTCCATTAGCCACAGATGCGGAAAAAACGTTTTCAAGTATCGCAGTTTAGTTCTTTTCGTCATCTATGGGTTCAAGTCTTGAAAAAATGTGGGCAACACCTGAGACAATTTGGTTTCCTCAACGATCCCCGACAATTAAATGAAATCGATGAAAATCTGCAAAATGGAATCTTCGTGACAAGGAAAAATATAACTAAGAAATAGTTTTATAGCATCATTACTTTTGTCGTTGTCGATACTTGAATATGAAGAAAAACTCACCGCTCTCCCCAGGTCTGCACACGAATTACAGTTGTGATGGCAAAAATAAAAAGAAAGGAAATTTTCAAACGCATTTATTTATTAGCAGAAGATAGAAGGAGCAAATGTGTCAATACAGAAGTTTTGCAATTATTATTCTTTCGGCTGCTCGTGTTTGTTTTTTGTATTTTTTCTAGTATATATTCTTTTGGGGCGTTGATGAACTTTTTTATCTGTATCAATTTAAATAAACACAAAAAACAACAACCGTATGTACATTTATTTCCATGTGGTCTCATCCTCTTCAATGTAAAAGACGAACAATATGCGCTAACTTGCTATCTCTTTTGAAATATTTCTACCATCTAAACTCTCTTTGTGAGGATCAGCATAAGTTATCGTTTTAAAGTAAATTGTGGCACGTGATACATCATCATCAGTGATGACTTTTTGATCAAGCGTCGCTAACTGAGGGAGAATCGAAATCAGGTACAAGTTAACTTGCCGATCATAAGGAAGTGTGGCTAACTTGCTGGTCGGATCAATTTCGCAAAGGGTCGGCGTAACCCGACACGAGACGAGGGTATGACGCACCAAGCCATAAACGTAAGATGCAGTCATATCAGCGAAGTTATAAGTAGGCATCGTCTTTTTAGATGCCTCATTGACACCTCTCCCAACGGTAAGGGTATCCGTCGTAAATGGATTGAGTAATTTATGGTGATCATCATTGGTAGGATTGGCGTCGTCTTCATAGGTGATCTCTGAGTGGCTCAAAAGTTGTTTGAGCGCCCCAGTGTCGTCTGCACGGTCATTCGCAACTCCTCCGGTATCAATAACGTTGTTATCATCCCTAATATTGTCATCTAAGCTAGGTTGCTTGTTGGGGAAAGGTTGCATTGGGTGTAAGAAAGGGTTGTCTTGAACGGATAAATGGCGCAAAAGCCCCAGTGAGGACAATACCACAAAATCCTCGACGTTCTCTAAATAATTATGAGATAAGTCTAGTCTGACGATAGCATGGCATTGCACTAGTGTAAGGGGTAGGTGGCGCAACATGTTATGCGCAAAGATCAGAGTTTCAAGATTAGTGGTCACATGGGCCACAAAATGCAGGTGCCGTATACTATTACGTGATAAATCGACGTAGCGAAGTTGTTGACTTCCTGAAAACACGCTGATCTCGACAGTGTCGATTTGATTTGAGGAAACATCTAGACGCAACAAACTGGAGAGTGATGAAAAGTGTGCAAGCCGCAAGCTTGAAATGCGATTTTGTGAGATACAAAGGTTTGATAGGTATTTGAAATGTTGGAGACCCTCCAGTGACTTTAACATATTGTCTTCAAGGTAAAGTGTTTCCAGCGTCCGCGCATTACCTTCGAGATCTTCAAACACAGACTCACTCAGTTGATTTGATTTTGCAGAAACAAAAACAAGATTTTGCAATGCTCTTAAAGGTTGGAGAGTAATGAGAGAATTATGGTCCAAGGTAATATGCTGCAAAAACACATATGTCTCTAGCAAATCAATATTGCAAAGACCAAGACTACACAAAGATATTTTCGTGTACACAAGGAGCCCCTCTGGATTGTGGTTGAACGTGGAAAGCGATTCATGAATCTGCTCCAGTGTTAGCTTCCCAATTGGAGAGCTGGGTGTACTTCTAGTGTTCTCTAGATCATGTGAGCTAGAAATTTGTTCCGTTTCCTTCAAAGAATGTGGAGAGATGAATGTCACCTCGCGGAGTGAATCACACACTGGATCCACGTTGACTGAATTATCTATAGATGTGTTCATAAGGAACACCGGTTCCTTATCTCTTCTTGTAAAATACAAAAGCAAAGAACGGGAG